CCAAATTCAGGTTATATTTGTTAGAAAACTCAAAGAAGCCATGCATTTTGAAATCAAGATATTAGAGAGCCTTCACGAAACTCATCTGTGACTCATAAATAATAAGAAAGTCACTTTTCACTTGGGCATCTTTCCTTCTCACTGCTGACTGTAGTAGATTTTTGAGATGGTGGAGGCTGATACAGTGTCTCAAGCTTTAAGCTGTACTGTTAGCTCAGGCTGAGCAAGGCTCATTTCTCCAAGGTGAGGTACCAGACAGCCATGATTTATGTCATTAAATTGACATCTGCTGACTCCAGTTTGGAGTTTACTGGCTAGAGTGTCTTTGGGACAGAGTAAATCTCTGTTTCTGGTAGAAAAACAAATATTCGAACTCTTATCAAAATTGACAATCTGGGGATGCTCCTAGTTTGCTGATGGGTATTTCTTTTTTCTTTCTTTCTCATTTGAAATTATTTAGACTTAACAAAAGTTGAAAAAAGTGTACATAGAATTCCTATATACGTATTTCCAATTTACTTTAATATTACATAACTATAGTACAAGTCCCCTGGAGGCAGGCTTGGCAGCCCACTCCAGTTCTTGTCTGGAGAGTCCCATGGACAGAGGACCTTGATGGACTATGGTCCGCAGGGTTTCAAAGAGTTGAACACTACTGAAGCAACTTAGCACACATGCACACATGCATGCAAATCTCTGGTTCTGGTAGAAAAATAGACTGTATCAAAATTTGCAATCTGGAGACACTCTGGTTTGCCAGTCAGTATTTCTTTTTTCTCTCTCATTTGAAATTATTTACATTTACAGAAGTTGCAAAAATTGTACATAGAGTTCCTATATATATTTTCCTAGCTTACCCTAATATTACATAACCATAGTACAGATATCAAAATAAGAAATTAACATTGATAAAAATACCATGAACTAAATCTATACACTTTCTTTGAATTGCATTGTTTTCCCCACCCCTGTTCTTTTTCTCATCCAGGATCCAGACAGGGATCTATTGCATTTAGTTGTCTTGTCTTAGTTTCCTTCAGTCTGTGACAGCTTCTCAATCTTCCTTTGTTCCTTCCTTTGTTTGTTATGACCTTGGTACTTTTAAAGAATACTGGCTAGTTATTTTGTAGAATGGCCCTCAGTTTGTATTGGTCTGATGTTTTCTCATGATTAGATTGAGGTTATTGAACTTTTGGCAGGAGAGGCATAGAGTAATGTTGTGCCCTTTTCAGCCTATCATACCACTGGAATATGATATCAATACACTGCTAAAATTTCATCATATGGTTAAGATGGTGCATGCCAGGTTTCTCTGCTATAAAATTATTATGTTTCATCTTTATAATTAATAAATGTCTTATTGGGAGGGGATACTTTGAGACTAGACAAATATCTTGTTTCTCATTATACCTTCATCTATTGATTTTAACATCCATTGGTGATTCTTGCTGGAAGTCATTATTTCTTTGTTATTTGACTAGTAGCGATCTTCTATTTCCATCAATACTTCTGTGTTTATTAAATGTCATTTTACTATAAGGAGGAGCTGATCTGTCTCTTCCATTTTCTTATTCAACCATTTTTTTATATCACTGTGGATTCGTGAATATTAGTTTTATTCCATGGGTTAGAATCTGTTATTATCATTATTCATTTTTATTGCTCAAATTCCCTAGATTTGGACTTTGAGAACCCCTTCAAGTTGGCTCATGTGTCTTTTTGACATACAGCCATCACTTTATGAGAGCTTTTTACCTTTTGGTACAACAAGATACTCCAGACTCATCTTTATTTTCTTTGCCTCAGGCCTTTCAATCAACTTTCCGTCCCGGGTTCTCTTTATTGGATAATGATATTTAGAAACCAAGCTCTTGATGCCAAGTGTGCTCACTACTATTGGGGTGTCTTTGCTTGTGGATTCTTCTGATTGACAGAGCCAGGAAATACATACATGTATACACATACATGCAAACACACCTTTATTACTATATGTATCTCTGTGTGAATATGTATTGAAATCTCTGAATAAATATTGAAACCACAAATTCCAATTAAACATCACAGGTGTTTCTTAAGGGACTTCTTGTAATTATTTTTTTAAAATATGAGAGATAAACTATCTCTTTTGCTTGGAAATAATCTAACAATGAAATAAATACTCCTCATCCTTAATATTTTATTCTCCAGCACTCCTGATGAGTTTCTGATTGACAAAATCTTCTTTTCTATCTAAGCCTCATCACCAGCAGATAATACAAGAAGTAGATTTCTCAAGACAACAATATCCCATAATAATTTCACAGGGCTATCCAGCATATTTTGATCGGTTCTCATGCTTCTGTAGCTCTCAGATGGAATAGAATGCCTTGTATTAGGATTGCAAGAGATAGCCTCTCTTAGTGATCCAGATTTTCCCATATTTAAGTGATGAGAAGTATCTCCATCCTTAGGTGATTAGTATGATCCATGTGTTCTGGGATTCAAACTAGGGCATACTGGGAAGGTTAATTTTTATCCTCCCTGAAGAGTGTGTAAATGCATTTATAGGATCTCAGATCCTCAGAACTCTGAATATGAAGAGATCTGAGCCTCCTATTAGTAACAATCATAATTTCTTAGTGACTTTTGAACCTTTGAGCTAAAAACTATACAAGAGTATATGACATCCAAAAGCCCTATCCATAGACACTGGTGACTGTGAGATAGTTCCTGTGTGTGAGGACCTGTCTCAAGGACCTGTTCTAACCCATGATTCAGCTGACTTCCCCCTGGAACATATTTGTGCCTCAAAGGTCTGGTTCTACTCTTTGAACAAAGCTAAAGGAGCATTGTGTTCTAGAAGACATGTATTAGTGGTCATATCTAGCTTCAGCATAGTCCAGATTAAGGTCAGCAGGTAGCTTTTGTACAGTGGAGTGGAATAGAATGATTAAAAATAATAGTATAAAGTTGATTTATCTTTGGTTGATAGACATTGTGTACCTGATGGGTACCAGACACTGTTCTTGGTACGTGATGGTTTAAAAAGGGAAGGGAAGGTTAAAGGGAGGTTTTTGGGGGGGTAATATAATTCGGAAGTGAACTGACTGGGGCTGAGACTGGGGGTTTTAATATTGGAAAGAAGTAAATGATAATTTTTAGCAATGAGATGGAAAAAGGAAAGGAGAAAATCTTTGAAACATAGAATTCAAAAAAGGGACACATAAGGATAAGAGAAATTTCTAGACCTGAGAAGGTGGTAGTATTGGTTTTAGATATAAAGTGGTGGGAAGCTACTCAGCAAGAGCTATTACTTAATCAATACGCAAAATAGAATCAAGCTTAGTTTTCCAATAAGCTTTCCTTGATTAACACCTGCATAACAGAGAGTATAGAATTCATTGTCCACTCATCCCTTAAGAACTTGTCAGCATACTTTATTGTTATGTTATTTGTTATCACTTTGCTTGTAAATTCATGTAAATTTTAGCTTGTAATTGTTTATTCTGTGTGTATGTCACATGAATCTGTTACTATGTCATCCTCGAACACAGAAAGCCTTGCACCTTGCTGTGAACACAGTAGTTGAATGAACACTTGTGACATGAGTATTAAATGAAGATTGGAACCATTTAATTCCAACCATTAGTTTATACTATTAAAAATCAGCAGTGAGACCCAAAGGTGATTCATCATTAAAAATCTGCTTTTCTTATTCAGTAATGCAGTTTTACCAGAAGGCTGATTAAAAACCAGTCTTTTGAAATGTCACCAAAATAAAATCATTGACAGATACAACACAACCAGGTGTATCATTAAAATATATTCTTAACAGAATAAAAGCCTAGAATCACAACACTGGTTGAAAACATAGAAGTGCTAGAGAGCCAGAGAATTAGGAGCTAGTCAGATTTTAAATTAGCCAGCAATGTTTCTTTGTTGAAGCCCCAGAAGTTAGAACAAATTGAACTGATGGCGTATGTTAGGACTGGGCTTCCCAGGTGGCACTATTGGTAAAGAACCTGCCAGCCAGTGCAGGAGACATAAGAGACACGGGTTCAATCCCTGGGTCAGGAAGATCCCCTAGAGGGGGGCATGACCCCCGAATCCAGTATTCTGGCCTGGAGAATCCCATGGACAGAGGAGCCTGGCAGGCTACAGTCCATAGGGTCACAAAGAGTCAGACGCTCCTGAAGTAACTCGGCACACGTAAGTTAGGACTATGGTTTTCTACCAGATTCTGAAAGAGCAGGGCTAAGTGAGGAGAGCTTTCAGATTATAAACTTAAATATCCATTTTTGCCGTAAAACACTTCTACCATCTTACAAAGACTTACTAGCACCATGGATGAAGATTTGTTGAAACTCTGAACTTTTCTGATTTTATTTTTCTTGCCTCACATCTTTACCAGGTGAAAACCTTATATTGAAATAGATTAGTGTCTTTTTCTTTAACAATTCAAATAGCTGTGTTTGAACTTATTTTTATCACATAGACAGAGATGTCAAACTATTCTAATGAGACGCAGGCTTCTTGCCACGCAATACGTAGCGATTGTGCTTTGTGATTTGCCAAAGTCTGTTTGAAAGATGAAGTTGGACTGTGGGGAGTCTTACCTTGCTATGAAAACCTCATCTGAGTTTGTTTGCTTCTTGCTTGCATAAGGGCTCCTAGGGAGGCTTAGAGCATCTCACCTACCGAATTGGGTTGTGGGATGTGAGGTCATTTTAACATTGAATGTTCTCAGGGAACTTGATGGTGTGAGATAGCCCTTCTGAGTTTCTAGTTCCCCATTAACTGTAGTAGTTGAGCTCATATGATGTGACCCTTGTGAACCCTTCAGAAGTGTCCAGGGAGAAAAATAACAAGGTCAGACCTTTCACCAAGGAAATTTCAGGTTCGGGCCAGGAAGCATCCTCTGTTCCTTCCTGTAGGTTCCTCCTCAGCCTGTCAGCATGTGGTCCCCTGGTGTTCTTTGCTTCTGATGGCTGTTTCTCTCCCTCCCTCCTTGCCTTCTGCAGACATGCCTTGAATTGGAACGCTACCTGCAGACAGAGCCCAGGAGGATCTCGGAGACCTTCGGTGAGGACTTGGACTGTTTCCTCCGCGCTTCTCCTCCCCCGTGCATCGAGGAGAGCTTCCGGCGCTTAGACCCCCTGCTGCTCCCCGTGGAAGCGACCATCTGCGAGAAGAGCTCGGCCGTGGACATTCTGCTCTCTCGGGACAAGTTGCTATCTGAGACCTGCCTCAGCCTCCAGCCGACCAGCTCTTCTCTAGACAGCTACACAGCCGTCAACCAGGCCCAGCTCAACGCAGTGACCTCATTAACGCCCCCATCGTCCCCTGAGCTCAGCCGCCATCTGGTGAAAACCTCACAGACTCTCTCAGCCGTGGATGGCACAGTGACGTTGAAACTGGTGGCCAAGAAGGCTGCGCTCGGCTCCGTCAAGGTGGGAGGGGTGGCAACGGCGGCGGCAGCCGTGGCGGCAGCTGGGACAGTTAAGAGTGGACAGAGCGAGAGTGATCAAGGAGGGGTAGGGGCCGAGGCGTGCCCCGAAAACAAGAAGAGGGTTCATCGCTGTCAGTTTAACGGGTGCCGGAAGGTTTATACAAAAAGCTCCCACTTAAAGGCCCACCAGAGGACTCACACAGGTAGTGGTACAAGTTGGCCGCACGTGGTTTCTTCTTCTTCCTCCTTTAGCCTCGTGGGGGGACGGGCTGCTCTCTGTTCCGAGAAGTGGCATCCATGCCAGCTAGGAGGTGTAGAGAGGCAGGCGGGCCTGGGAGGGAAGCCAGGTGACTCACCTGTTAACCTTAGGATCTCCAGGTGTCCCCAGCACCAGACGTGGGTTTGTCCCTCGCTGGCTCGGAGATCCTTTCAGAGGGCAGTGCCAGCCTCGGTGTGGTATCAGACACTGCTGAGGATGCCCGAACAGGGGTTCTGGTTGTGTGACTCACAGCCGGGCATGATGTATGCACCTGGCGCTTCCCTGACACTTTTCGTTGTTTTATCGGGGTGATTCTGCAGTTTTGATCAACACTGGAATCTGAGAAGTTACCTTGGAGAGAATTCGCAATTGAACAAGGTAGCCAGGGTGTCCCTATTTACTCTTTTTCCAGCATCCCTGATTTTTCATCAAAGTCACCAACAGCAGGAGGGTTTCAGAGTTCATTAGATGTGATCATTCTATAATTAATTGGCATCTCCTCTTTTGCATTGTTCTCTGGCGCGTGCTTTATGGAGAGATGGCAGAATTGCTTTTTAATGAGCTTGTTACTGCGAAGTTGCTAAAGTGATTACATTGCTATGTGTGTGGTAAGGGCGGTGGGGACCGGCAGGGACTGTATAGTTTACCCAGGACTTCTGTGGTGACTCCCAGGACTCATACTGATCTTGGGAGCGATGGGATAATTTAGAAGAGTGGGGTTTGTGAAGAAAAGAATGAGATTAGCATTTTTCTTGAATCTGGTCTTTGTCCTCTCCTTTGAGGTAGAAACTTAGGGCTGGTGTCTCTTCTTGGGGTTAGCATTGTAGGAGCAATTATTGTCATTAGTGGTTTTTAAATGAGTCCCTGAAAGGATATTGCCAGTATGTTTTTTTCAAACTGCGTGCACAATACCAGCTCAGCTGGGAAGAGCTCCGAAAGTGTAAGTAGCAGAATCAGAGTGTTGCTGGGAGGAAATGGGTGATTAGATCCAGGCTGGGAGATGTGTCTGGAGAGAGTTCTTCTTCTTGGGCTTGCGGCTTGCCTTCCGGGCGCTCTGTGGTGACTTGCAGAGTGTGTTACCAGGGAGGTGTGCGGTGCATGGATCATTGGTTGGAAAATGGGGAAACCTAGGTTCTAGTCCTAGTGCTGTTGCTAACTAGCTTTTTCACCTTGAGCACAGCCCTTTACCTCACTGGTGGCCTCATTTTCTACAGCTGCCAAACAATTTGGCTTTTGAGGCCCCTTTCAGCTCTAATGTTCTTGGGGGAGGCGGTTTTGGGAAATGTCTTTGTGTAGAACAGAGGAGTTTCCCTGAGGTAGGAGTGTGTAATGTGTGTCTTGAAACCATCACCACCTTGAATTTCAAAGTCATTCCCATGGGAGGATGATAGCGGACAGTGTTTCCTCACAGCGTAAGACTTAAGCATGTTTTCCTCTCATTTCAAACTGACTTTTGCTTGTGGTCCTTGCTTGGTTCATGGAAAGTTATCCTAAGGTTACTTTTGAACCCGTGGCTTAGGTTCAAGTCCCACTCATGGGTCCTTTTGGAGTTTGAGTTCGAGTCCTCCAGTCCACATACTTCAGGGCAAAAGCTTCCTGCTGCTGTCAACTTTTTCTTCTTTTCACCTGTCTGGTATTGTTCTGGAGGTTAGTTTTATTTATTTGTCTTTCTCAAATCAGTGAGTAAAGTAACTAGAAGACATTGCAGTGCTCCCAGGATTCAGCTGTGACTCATCTCCTCTTCTCCCCAGGAAACCAGAGAAGGCAGGATGAGGTGAGAAGGTTGAGCTTTGTTGGGGGTATGGAATTCATGCTTATGAGCACATTTTTCAAATTATTGACATGAAGACAGGCTATGTCCTGCCTAGTTTGGAGGCTGGGCATCTCTGGGGAAGCAGAGATTCTTTTTGCGGAGGGGGAGGTGGGGGGGTGGGGTGAGTCCAGAGCATTTGCTTCTTTTTCCTGTCCCCTCTTTCTAATGGATGTGTTAGGAGGATAACTCTGAGAAGTGATGCATCTTCTGTGCTTTGTTTTTTGGGCATTGTCTACTCAGAGTGATTATCAAGGTGGAGCTCATTATGTTTCCCAGCACCTGCAACCACTTGCCCTATAGTGGATTAAAGTGGAAAGAATCCTCCCTGTGGGGAATTTATCCACGAAGGCACCTTGCATTACTGGAAAGGCAGTACTGCAGAGCAGTTAAGAGCAGGGCTTTGCAGTCAGGGAGATTCAGGTTTGAATTCTGGCTCTACAGCTTTCTAGATTTATGACCCGGATACCTGATGCATCTTCCCTGAGTCTCAGTTTCCTCTCTGTAAAACAGGGGTAATTTACCTCCTAGATTGTTTTGAAAATTAAATGAGTAAATATATGTAAAGTGAAAGTCTCTCAGTTGTGTCCGACTCTTTGGGATCCCATGGACTGTAGCCTGCTAGGCTCCTCTGTTCATGGAATTCTCTGTGCAGGAGTACTGGAATGGGTTGCCATTTCCTCCTCCAGGGGATCTTCCCAACCCAGGGATTGGAGAAACTGCAGAAAATTGGAGAAATTGCAAGAAACCAGGTCTCTTGCATTGCAGGCAGATTCTTTACCTTGAGCCACCAGGGAAGCCCAAATATATGTGAACTACTTGGCAGATGGTAAGAGCTCATTAAAGACAGTAATAGGGTTGGTTGTAGTCCTGACTATTGCTGATGATATTGATTAATGATGATTTTGTGGAAAAAAAGAAAAACAGCTTTATGTAAACTAGAAATAAACTACTTAAAGTTAAATGCCACTAAAAAGCAAGAAGCTTTTCTTTCCTCACTTCCGTAATTTCAGTGTCTGGGTGGTGATGCACGGCCACTCGTCATAGAGGATGCAATTGGACGTGCAGACATTGACCCATTGAAGTTGGCAGTAATGTAGAACACAGCTTTCCTAAAACAACACAGGAAGCAATGACCTTGCACCCTCCAGAAGCATTTTGCCAGTAAAACCTTCTGCAGAGACAAACATGGAGGGGAAAGCAGGTGCTGTAAGAAAGACAGACAGACAGGAGGGGAGGCAGAGGTGGAGATGGGCGATGAGGAGAGGGAGTCTGAATTAATTTGGATTAAATAGATGAGAATCAGTATTTATTTGGAATTGGTGTGAAGGGGGCACACGGGAACTGAAAACAAAAGTGATAATTTATGTGGTGTGGATGAGCTAAGAGTAATGAAAAAAGCATGAAGGATGGAATCAAATTAAGTGCAAACATATCAAGGAAGTGGACTAGCAAAAGCTTGTGGGCAAAGGTATGTGGTGATGAGAATTTAGGTTGGAGTCGAGGCCACTGATAGAAAGGAATGAAAAAGGGAGGGCTGCTGACCAAGTATTGAAATGAAGCTCTGGTTGGATTCAGAGCTCTGGATTCAGGCAAGCTGTTTTAACACAGGGCCCACTTTAATTCAATGAAAATATTTTCTTATCTTTCAGCTGGGGAAGTGTTTTGGGACATAAAAAGAGAGAGAGTGAAAAAAAAAACCATGCAAGAGAAAGAGAGGAAATACTGGCATTTTGTTCTCTGGAGTTATATATATGCTCTATCTCTTCTATATGGTAATATGTTGAAAAAGAGACACACTTGCAAAAATGAAATAAACTGTGTGGGTCTCAGTCTATGCATAAAGAAAGACAATGCGTTGTTGGTAACATGGATTTCCTTGCAATGAATAATTTTTAAAAGTGTTATTCATTTCATCTTTATATAGATAGATTTTACTGAGCTGGAAAAGATCTGCTGCTGCTGCTGCTTTTTTTGTCCTTCTGTGGCTGTTTTTTTTGAGGATGCTGAATCCTTCAAACTTTTTGCCCTGGAGGATGTTAGGCAATGAGGTGATTTTTCTTTTTTTTCAGGTAGCAGATGTTCAAATTGGTAGCTAGGGCACAAATACTGGTTGCCCAAGGAGCTGAAGTGAGGGATGGGGGGAGCCAGGCTGGGGGTGGCTGAAGATGAGGCAGGGGCTGGGACAAAGGGAATATTGTGAAGTAGCAGAATCTAAGAGAAAGGAAGCATATAAAAATGGACATATGGTTTATTCATTGGGAAGAGCACTTAGTGCTGGCATGAGAGTAAAAATGTCCTTTAGCAGCCAAGCCATTACAGACCTTTCTCTTCCACTCTGTTTTCTGGTCTTTGTATAATATATTTTTCTTTCTCAATAAGTCAACCATTATGTTCACAGTTTTATTTGTCTTCTTGGAAACAGCTAAATAATCCTAAAATTTTGTTGCAGGGAAATCCCTCACTTTCCGTTTTTAAAATACTACTTTATTATGTTTATTTTCAGCAAAAATCAATTTGTTAAAATGTTGGTAGTTTCTATTCAAAAAAACAAAGAATAATTTTCCACATTTCTTCTTGATCATTTCTGAGAAGGAAAAAAAGCCTGTGATTGAAATGGAGCTTTATGTTAAGTGAGCAGACATCTCTAATATGAAAATTCATATAAAATCATGTTCACATTTACACTGTTAAGATGAGTCATGTTGGTAAAGTCAGGACAAAGGCCAGCAGTAAAATCTTTGATTATTGGTCATAGAGAAGGGAGCAAAGAGGCCATGTGCTGTCTTCTGCTACTTGGACAAGGGCTCTCCATAGACTGGAGTTGCTTTTACCTAATCCATGGGTGGTGATAGAACAGTCTAGGTTTTGCACTGAATGATATAAAGGTATGCTTTTTAGGCAAAAAGATAAAATGACTGCAATTTACTTAGCATTTGATACCTGCTTTGAGGCAGGTCATAATGAATCATAATGTGGCACAATCTCTAAGTTTAATTAGGATTTAGGGAAATAGTTTGTTTTTAAATGGAAAGGTGGGTAAAAACATTATGAACAAAAAGATGGGTATCAGTTCAGTTCAGTTGCTCAGTCGTGTCCAATTCTTTGCGACCCCATGGACTGCAGCACACCAG